CTGGTTGGGGATCTGCCTTTTATTTGGGCTTTCTAATGAGCCTCATGAGTGTTATTAGTGCACGGCATGTAGGACAGGGAATGCACTAATGCAGGTATGCATTTATTTTACTGTATGTCTACTTTCCCATAAGATTTCTCTCTTTTTTTCTACCCATAGCTCTGCACAGCCCCCACAGCTTCCTGGTTGTTTTTCAAGCTTGTTGTTCAAGATTGCTGTCTGCTTTTGGCAAAATCATTTTTTTCAACCTTTTCTTCTGACCTCTGCCATCTTGTTGTCTGTGTTTTTAAGCAATCGTTGCCACCGGCATACACACCCCCATTCTATTTCTATTTAAAGCATGAAGTGCTTGCAGTGCTGGTGGAGGCCGTGGTGGGCTCTCATCCCCTTCTCATTCTCCACAGATGGGTTTGAGTAAAAGCATTAGCATGAAAACAGCAGGTGATGGAGAATCAAGCATGCACTGCTTGAATTGTAAATAGGATGTGAGTGTATATGCGATAAGTCTGTGAAATTGCCCAGGCCTGTGCGAATAATAGCCCAATGGCTCTGCACTTTGCAGAGTACCAGTGGCTGTGTGCCAGGAACCATCTCTGCCTCCCTGGTTAGCATTCTCTCACCCCACAGTGAAAAAAAAAAGGGTCAAAAATACGATATGTCTGATCGGTGACAGTTTTTCTGGGATTTCTGATCGCTTGTGCTGGCTGTGGAACGTTGAAATAACCTTTACGCATTTCTGTCAGAGATAAAATTAAATCTGTGTTGTTTTTTTCTCTATATCCTCAAATTTAAAAAGAAATACATGATTAGCTACTATGCTTTTTATTATAGCACATATACCATGAGTGTAAAATAAATGAATAGCAGTGATGTAAAAGCTGAGAACTGGCAGCTGATAGAGGAGGTTTGCATATTTTATATTCATTAATACATTAATAAACAGAGTGGAAAAGTACAGATAAGTCCACTGGTGGCTGAAAATGATCTTGATGGATTCTGACTGGTGACTCGTTAGTTAAAAAGGTCCAGAATCCAATCCTATTTCCAGACACTGACCCAACTTACAATAACACCAACCAGTTGCAGTAATGGCTGCAAATACTGTTTTATACATCTTTTAATTGCATAATGTTTCCTAATTTTGTTGGTTATAGTGTATGTATTTTAATATACTTGAGCATTACTTACAACTCAGGTAGTTCTACTGCGCCCTTTAAGTACATAAATCTAAAAAGTTATAGATGTTCAGTATTGTGTTATTTTAACAATAAATTATAGGAATTATAGAGATCCTGCCTTCCAGTTAAAAATATATATATTATGTTTTCTTAGATGTCTATACATATCTGCTTTTTACTTGGGCTCCAAGATGGTGAGTGAGAGCAGGTATTTCAGCAGGTAACAGGAAGGTTTGAATAGAGTGCCACAAAGTTTCTGTGTTTTATCTTTTTGAAAAAAAAATTTATATAGGGTTCCACATTGTTGAAAATATAAACATTGACCCTGCCTCTTTAGTAATGCAAGCTGCACTCATGGCAAACGTAAATTATATTTACATTTTTCTCATGTTTAAAGAACTGCTAAGGGAAAGAAGGCCTTAAAAATATTTTCAATTTGCTTAAATCTGAATCACGCGTATAAACTTTCTCCATAAACCGCAGATCAGAAATCAAACTTACATTTTGATGTGTCTCAAACAAGAACTTTTGAACTCCAGACATATAAATGACAAAGTCTCTACCTCTAGAGACATGGCCAGCTAAATATAGAACTAACACAGACCTCGGAGCAGTTTGTGTTAAACTTTCTGGATTTGCAGTGGCCTGTGAATTTAGAGCCAAGAGAAGAACAAGGCATTGAGTATTTATCATCATAAAGTGTGACTCCACGTGAGCTGAGATTCACGAGGCAGGAGCTTCCTTTCCGTTTGTGCATTTGCCTTTTTTGCCTCTTGTTCCTCCTCTCTTCCTCTGCAGTTGTTTACAATAGGAACCCAACCAGCTATCAGCCATTGGGGTAGCTGAATCACTGCTATGGCATCCCAAATTGACCTCCGCTCTCCAGCCATCTGTGTATGAGTAACAGAACCAGGCGACACCACAAAACATTAGTGTATTTAGCATTCAGTGCAGGCTCTCAGAGCCTCAGAGTTCTGCTGAGGAAACTCATAATCGAGGTGCAGAGTCAGCCCACACACTGGTCTAAAGACGCTAACAAACATTCATTTGTGGCATTAGAGTTTTGAGACCAAACATTTTAGTCATCTTTGGTAATCCAAGTGTTTGCATAGGTCTGCTTGGATTCGTTTCTCAGTTTTTGAAGCTCTTCACATTTCTGACTGCTTACAGATTTCACACCACATTGGATTATATGTATCATTACTGGATCTTAGGTGCTTTCAAGTCTATTCTCGCTTGTTCACCAAATCCAGAGTCTGCAGTGTTTTATAACCTTACAATTTCCCTTACTGCTAAAAAAACCTTAATATTATCCAGGAACACCTGAGCCCGAAAATAGATCCTGCATGCCGCTAAGTACAGATTTATTGATCTCACTTTCACCTGCAAGACCCCCATCTCTCTCCCCTGCTGTGTACTTGCCTCACAGGTCGAGTGAATCATAAGCAGAAGGCCTCTGTGTTGGAAAAACAAGCAGCAAACAGTGGGGTCTGTGTTTATCCTGCAGTACGTTCCTTTTCCATGTAAGGTGTTGGGCATAAACACAGAGCAGATCTTCTTGAACAAAACCTCAGTGTCCTGCTTTGTATCACCCTTTAATCATTAGATCTATCTTTTGAACACCATGGCCCTTCTCCGATTAGATGAACAGTATCACGAGTCCTGCTGTGTTTAGGCACATGCCTTTGTTAGATCTAATATGGTCATAACAATACTTGTTAAGTTGCTGTGTTTTTCTGTTTTGTTTGTTTTTAAGTCGAACACTATAAAACAAACCAAAGCCAAAAGCAGGCTTTATCGAAACTAAAAACACAGAAAGAGCAACACGCTTCTTCCTCCTTATAGTCTCTATCAGTTCACCCAAATAGGAGTCTTTTCTGGTTAACCCAGACGCACAGATCCTTATTTCTGATGTTGGAAATTGTTTGAGGAAGTCATAATATCCCAGTTCGAGAAGGTGGAGGAAATTAAAGCAGGATCAGAGTTCACTCGTTTTGTGGCTCTTCTCGTCAGTCATATAAGGTTTAAGATTGTACTGACACTGTACTTTGGCCTTTGAACTCTACTCTAACTAAAAAGGGCCTTGGCGATGTTTAACCTTTCATGGATTTGTTTTAAATCACACTTCAGTGAGCAGACAACTAATGTACACAAACACAATATTCATCTGGTGAAATTTTGTAAACTCAGCAGGCTGCTCATTGTAGGCTTGTCTACATGCATCAGTATACCTGCCCTCAAACTATACCTAAACTCATCATGTTGGGAATTGAGATTAAAGTCAGTGGGTCAGTAGGGTTTGGGCAGGGGGCTGCATTTGTTTGAGTGATAGCCCTCTTTAGATTGAACGGATTGTCCCCTAAGATCCCCCCCTCCCATGATTGAAATGATGGGATTCCCCTGATTTTGATTGGTTCAATCCTGTTTCCTTAATAACTTTTTAATCAAAAACAGCCTCCCGCTGATTAATGATTGGATTTCGCTGGCGCCTGGCACAGTGGGGAAAGACATTTAGGAGACGCTCTAATCCACAGTTAAAAGTACTAATTGTCTGAGGATCTATTCTGAATCTTTACTGAATACTCAAATAAAATGGTTCTATTACCTGTGATAAACCTCCTCCATATGGTATGTGAAATGTCTATGTGGAGGTGTTTTCTCCTGACCGACAATGGACAATTTTTAGATTATTAGATTGGTATTACAATCTAGACAAATAATAATAATAAAAAAATTTATTTACCTCTTTGAGCAAGTTGCAACAATGTATTTTGAAGTCATGGTTAACTTCTAGATGCTATGTGGATAAGGATTTGCTTGTAGATGGTGCCAAGCTTAACAGAGATAAAATATTCCTGGCTTGATTTAATCTGCTCTGCCATGTTCAATTTCTGTAGAAATGTGAGCCATCGGTTCATCATGTTACACAGGACTTTATTTTCTGATCTGCTGTTCTGCGTTGAACTGCTTTTACCAATGCGGAAATGTTTCTGCAAGTAGGTCAGTTGGACAAATAAATCTAGAAATGCTCCTGGAGAAGGAATCACTGGGATTAATGCTTAGAAGCAGTCTGTCGCATGCAGTGATTTGGGGTAGCTGGTCACAGCAAGCAAATAAGGTCACATTACATGTAACTGCATACACACCTGCTAAAAGGGAAATTGAAAAAATGTTTTTAGCCAAAAACAGATAAAATCAGGTATCAGATAGGTGATTAGTTGGTGAAAGGAGTGTGTGACCCAACCTAGTTTCTACTGTAATGAAGGTCTGCCTCTTTTTCTGGTCTGCTTCTGCCCTGCAGGCTGATAACACATTAAGAATATATTAATAATATAAAAGAGGTTCTTTCATGCGTCAATCTGAAATTACATGACGGTCCTTTGCCTTTTGACATTTGATCTAAGCTACTGTATTAGAGCGTTAGAAAACAGCCCTCTTGGTTACTTAGACACTAGTCCATTTGCTCTACATTGTCTGTTTGCTTTTTCCATCTGTGGAGTCCCTGCAGAGCACCTGCAGGAGAGGGCTGCATCCTGCAGCAAAGGGAAGGTCTGGGAGGGGATTTGGTGGGTAAGACACTCTGATGCAGCGCAGATGGACCCTAACCGATAATCTCCACAGGGTGTTTTGATAGATATGGCTCTAAAGTCCTCAAGTGAACTACTAAAGACAGGATCAGTGTCAAGCTAAGGAGGCTGAATCAGAAGAAAATGTTTCTTCCATTAGCTTCTGAGCCTCATATTGTCATTTGTGCAAATAACTTGAGGTCTCTCTAAAGTTTCTAAACAGCTACCCTGTTTTTCTTCTTTTCTGTTCTTTTAGGCATTTGGACAAGCTTATACCAACCACAGGAAGGTGGCAGCAGATGGGGAAAGCCGGGAGGAGTCTCTGATCCAGGAGTCAGCTTTTAAGGAGGCCTATTACGAGCAGAGAGTTCTTGAGCTGCAGAATGAGCTGCGGCAGACGCGCAACATCCTGACCAATACCCAGTCTGAGAACGAACGCCTTGTTGCCATCTCCCAGGAAATGAAAGAGGTAAAGAGGAGCGATACAAAGTCTGTACCAGACACATTATCTAGTCTTTGCTTTTAAGGATAAAACATAATTTATAGTTGAAATAATAGATTATGGCATAGGAGCTCATCCTGAGTTTTGTCCTGTAGTTCGTTTTCACCTTTGTTAATGGTTGGAAATTCAAGTACCCTTCTGGTAAATATACCGGTATGTTCAAGGCCTTAGATTAAAATGAAAAGAATTTAAATCAAAATTTTAGTCTCTCACAAGAAAATTAAAAAAAAATAATAATTCTCATGAGTACATTTTTCAGGCAGACGGATTCCCACTATGAAATCATTTTCATCAGAATCAAAGCTGGACCTCCTATTGGCTCTAATAACCTGTCCTTTAAAATATAACTAACCAAAGCCTTTTTATTAATATTTAACCTTTTTCCACTTTGATCAAAGAATCAAGGGGCCTTAAGACAGGGATGTATGCCTTCCTGTTCCCAAGGGGTGTAGCTATGACTTATGATGAGACATCAAGGCTTATTTCTTTTAGCCACTCTTTGAAATATGAAAGGTAATCATGCTATTTGAGTTAGGGGTTAAGGTAGATGTGTGTTCATCTTTAATATTGTTTAACAATACAAGCTTTAGAGAATTTTGCAGTCAGAGGAGGAGTAAAAAATGCAAAAAAACTAGCGACTGAAAAGGCATCTGTCTTGCCACACAGCACATGCAGACAATGGTAAGAGATATAAAATAAAGTCTATAACATCCACTGTTGGAGAGCTACAGTAAGGAGGGACATCTCTGGAGTCAGAGTCTCCATAGCAACAGTTTACTTCTGTGTTTTTGTTCACATCCTCTCATTGGGATCCAATTATAGAGGATGTTGATGTAAGTCTATTTATGGTTATATGTCAAAAAGAAGTTGTTTGTTAATGCTGTTTAATGGGAAGCAGAGACAAAATGTATTGGTTTGAAATGTTCCAGTTGAATGATGATAGAGAGCGTACTTGGAGCGTCTGTATTTATAAATGTACTAACTGTCCAGGGTTAATTGTTTTAGCACATGATGGCTAAGATACACTTTGATCTGACTTTAAGATGTTTTGATGACACTAATTACACTAAAATGATTGTGGGAACATGGCAGGTTTGAATTTGAGTTGGTTGACCGCACCCTTTTTTGCCCGTTAAGGTGTGTCTGTAATAACAAAAAATAATTGAGCCATGGGAAATGTGTCTGTGTTACTACAAAGATGGCACGATCCCAAATTAAGTATGTTGTTGGAATCATACCATGAAAATTGTGCTCCTCTGCTGTTACACCTGAGATGGTATTTAAATTTATCTGCCTTAGAAAAAACAAACTCATCAGTGTTTATCTGAGGCTCAATAAAACCAGCTCTGTAAACCTCAACACACATTCCTCTAACTTTATCCTAATATCATGCAGAAAGCCATTATGGTTGCCCCATATGGTCAGCCATTATGGCTGACCTCCTCTCTGCTGCTATTTACATACACTCACAGCTAATTGACCTCATTCGAGCAGACAGCAGCACAGCTCAGAGCGTGGGCTGAGTGCCTTTGCCAGGAGTTGTGTGGAGCACGTTATGATGACATTATATTAGCAAAGGAGAAGCAGACTCTGAAATTACATTGACAAGTTTGTAGAAGCTGGCTTTAGATCACTGAGACAGGAGGAGATGAAAGGATGAAACGAGAAGAACAGAGAGGCAAGCTTTAAGGGAAGATTTGGTTTTCTCTTTGATGATGAGGTCCATGTTCCTTCAAGTCAAAACAAGGTTTGGCCATCATCAGGACTGTCAAAAAGGAAGAGATTTTGGGAGGTATACCGAATGACAAGTTTAATCGAATAAAGGGAATAGACTGCCCTCTGTAGAGTGTTTTATTTTGTTTAGTATAGCTGCATTATGATTTGGTATTCAGGTGTTTTGCTCTAGATGCACCAATCAAAACTTGTGGCCAACTTCTAATCTCAGCCTTTTGAATCTGATGGATCGGTTTACAGACTTGATATTTAGACAATTTTAGCAAATTGCAGCAGATGTTTCTGTGGTTAACATGGTTTATGTTAGTTAATTAGCAGACTTGTTTTATCTAAACTTCCTTTGCTCCATTCAGCCTTTTTATTATCTTATCTTCTCTCGTCCTTCATCGTTACAGCCTGAATGAAGTGCAAACATGTTTTACTTATTGACGATGATTAAAGCTAAATTACATTTGTTCTCTTTAGATCACAGTATCCACACTGAAGAGTGCGGTTTTAGTATCCTGGGGTAGTTTAGATATGGAGCATTCACTGATCGGAAAACAATGTGAGTTTCGGTTTTTACTGACTGGCCAATGATCAAAAATCTCAGAGTTTTAGCATTGATCATTTAGGCCACCATCCGATTTCCCTGTAAATTTGCACAACACGGACTTCTTTATCTACTTTTCTCTCTGGTTTAATTATCTTGCCATAAGATTGTTAAACCCGGCTGCTGATGCACAGCAGATTTAGCTACATGCTCTGTTTTGAGGTCAAGTCCCTAATAAGGGAATAGATGAATATTAAGGGGAAAAAAATCCTCCTTAGTGGTGCAAAGAGAGCTGCTGGACTGACTGCTGTTTTCAGAGTCACTGTTTGAAACAGATGTCAGCTGTGCTTCTTACTAAGATTAGGAAAGGAATTAAAAAAGGCATCCCCCTGCCAAAGACTTAGGTTCTGAAGAGCTCTAAATACGGCAATAATTGGGTCAGCTGCTGCCCCCCCAATGCTGGTGGAGGTCAGTATTATGGAAGCCAGATGTGACCTTACCAAACCAAACTTTTGATCCACTTTCCTGCAGCCAAGCATCCACTCAAACATGGATGCTTTCTACAGTTACTATATCCCTGTTAAATCCATAATATTTATTACTAATACCTTCATGGTGGATTTTAAACACAAAGCAGTACTGCTCTGGCCTCAGTGACCACCCCGCTGCACTGCAATGGACCCAGTTCGCTCTAATTAGTCAGATTAAGAGTCCTGAAGTGTAAATTGCCTCACGTATTTGGGATAACGGCACCCTTCCGGGGCCCACTTTACTAGATGTTCAGTGTGTTACTGGGGGCAAATGGAGAAAACCTGGGCACTGGGGCTGGCATTGTGCAAACACTGGCAGGCCTGAAAGAAACCTTTGTCTCTGGGATTTCAAATTAGCCCAGACCTAAAGCTGGAAGGGGAGGAAGGGTGCTAGGAAACACAGATATTGGTACATTAGAAGGAGGAGGCCTGGAATATGTTTCAAATTGAGCACAAAACCATGGCCTGTTTGAATTAGTCTGCTTTTCTCTTAAAGCACCATGTAGAGCCAGAAGGACTGGATGACAGAAATATCACAAGTTTAACTTTGATTTTTTTAAAGGTAATATTTCTACTGGTCTAAGTCTACAAAGGGATCCCAGTCCCAAAAAAAGTCTTAATTTTAGCTAAGTGGTTTCGTTGCATCTTTACTTTTGAAAAAATACATGTAAAGGCTCCAAAGCAACCTCAGTGTGATGGCTTTGTTTTCAAAATCGGTTATTGAGAAGCATAATTTCAGTATTATGAAAGCTCCTTTTACTTAACAGGATTTTATCACAGCCGCAACGTCTCAGCCAGTTACGTATGTCCCATTTAACCCAGCCAGGCTGTTTTGTGCCAAACACTCCAATGGTGGCAGAAAGCACAGATAAAGACACATTTTGCTGTTACGGCTCAGCATATAGGATTATATCCTGACAAAGAACCAGCAGCATTGTGATGAGGTCCACTGTTATAGGCATGACTTCATTAAATCCAATCTCATGTTGGCAGGGAATAGGCCTCCAGTGATGGCTGCCGTTATCTTCTAAGAATGGGAAGCTCTGCTGGATGAGTGTCAGGAAATGATCATGAAGTCTACCTTGAAACCGTTTTACACACAAGTTCTCTATTTTGAAAAGTCTACCCTTTGCCCTCAAATTATTAAATTTATCAGCTATTTTTTTTTTCTGTTTATTTATAGTTTTTTGTTTGTTATGAGGATGAGTGTTGAAGGTGGATATATTGATGGAATTATTCTTTAAAGCTGGAAAAAGCCGAGAGGTGGAATTCCTCCAAAAAAAGTTTATTTTTATTTTACTAATAAGAAATCTGAGAAATCTTTTATTTATTTTAAAAGTCCTGTCTTCAGTTGTGAAGTAGTGAGGCACTTGGGTTCAACAGAAATTTCCCCGGTGCTAATTATGCCTCCTCTTGCATTGAAAGGTCTGGCTTGAGTGGTAAAGGGATCCGAGGAAGGTTGCTCTTTGTTCCCTGTTATTATCATCTACAACCACGAGGCTAAATGTAATGGGACTCAGGGTCCTTGAGGGCTCTAAGGTGTTGACGTCTGCCTCCTCATCATTTCTGCTGGTATTATTATCAAGATGGATCAGTCCCTTTTATCTAGTGTTTTGGAGGATGGGTACATCAGAAGATAAATGGAGAAAAGGCTGAAGAACTGCTTCTTTAAATGAAACAACCAAAACAGCCATAGAGCTTGGAGACTTGGAGTAGTGTCCAAATGTTTGTCTGCAGTGTTTGTATCCAGCCCCCTTTAATCTGATACCCCTAAATAAAATAGCTTGCAACAAGGAGTCTCATAATAAATCAAAAATCTCACCCTTTGACTAACCGCCTCTCTACCTCTCTATCACATAGGCTAGTTGCTACATTGAGAGTTTGTTCTTAAACACCTTTAGGGGATTTCTGTCCTTCCCAGGTCGCTGGACCATAGAGAGTTCCAGCTGCAGATCAGTGGTTACAAATAAATCAACAACAAATCACACAGACACATGTAGGACCACACCAGCACCTCCATTAATGTGTGTAAACTCATTTTTTCCAATCTGATTTGCTCCTATTCAAATGACCCCAAATTCATTAATTCACTGAGTGCAGGGAACACGAGGGTAACCAACTATGTTATAGTGTTAGGTGCTAAGAGCACAATATGACCAGAAAATCCCTCTCAGAGTTCCCCTGATGGTTTATTTAATGTATGTCATTCAGAGGTGTGACCTTGACTGAGGTTTTTTTCTCCCTGATGGAGTCTGAGTTTCATTCATAGAATGGCAGCGGCTTGCTGCAAAGCAGAGGATAAAAGCAGATCAGCTTTCTCTCTCCGTGTTTCTGACAGCAGCACAATGCCCCTGAGCTTTAGTATTCTTTTGCCTTATTCATGTAGGTGCTTCACATGTGTTATTCATGCATTGTGTCTCTGTGTTGAAGTGATTTCAGATCAATTTGGCTTGGTGATCCTTTGAAAGGTTCGTGAAGAACTTCTTGGTTTATTTCTTGTCCCTGGCTGCAATTGGTGGTACAGAGAGAAAGGAAAGAGGATGAGCACGACTTCCCTTCCGCTTTTTAGTTCCGATGAAGCAAAGGTTGGGCATGAGAGGGAAAAATAGTCACCAGATTGATGCAGGGCTTTTAAAAGCGCACAGATGCAGGATTGATGGAGGCACAGCGGGGGCTGGGAAAATTAGAGCAACAGCGGTGGTGAAATGGCAAGATGGAGGTCAGTGGTGCCAGCAGAGAAGTAGAGAAATGGAGTAAAAATAAACGTCATATGCTGACTCCTCTCTCTCTCTGTAATTCTTGGCTTCTGCTCTTTTTGAGTAAATGTGTTTGGAAGGACCTGACATCTACATTTTGTTTAAGTGCAAAGTGAAGTAGATGGAGTGGGAAATCAAGGTGAACAGATATTATGAGAGAGCATAGAAGTAGGATAGAATATATTTATTTTCCCCAGTCACACTACTTGAATTCATAAATAAAACAGTCTTGTGCCACATGGTTGTCTGTCTGCCACTTCAAGAGGTAGATTCAAGTAGGAGGCTTCATGGATCTCTCTAGAAATGAAAACTTCTTTCAGCTGTTAAGAACAAAACACGGCCTTTATGTCAAATTTGTCACTGAGCCTAAGAAATCCAAACATTTCACCAGAGGTAAAGATAATAGGAACTTTATTACGCTTAAAACTGATGTCAAAATAAGCCTCTAGTGACAGAACCTTTTAGAATTAAATGGGGCAGTCTCAAGACTTTAAAGCCTGGAACATTACCTGGACCAGCTCTTTGGAAGGCATTGGATTTTTCTCAAAAAAAAAAAAAAATCCCTGTAAGATTCCCTTGAGTGTCCTTTTGGCCCTCACACTTATAAATGTTAATAACACGGTTTCCTGAGCTCCATTTCCAGTCTGGGGCTCAGGGTAACAGGAGGTCAAAGGTCACAACCCATTTGTGCATTTTAATCAGATGTGAGTCAAATCTTAATCAGGTTCAGTGGAAGTGCCTTTTCATCTGGACTGAACGGCTCTGACCCACCAGCTGAGACACATAACCCTGATCAAGGGCTGCCAGCTGGTTCCTCTTTGTTCAGCCAAAAGAAATAGATTACTCTGGTGATGGGATTAGTTTACAGCTGTAATGAATACACTGTTTATGTTTTTGGTGACATCCAAATCAGGGATCCCCTTAATACTGCTTTTCTAGCTTTGCTTTGATTCTTCACTCAATCAGAAGTTGTTTGATGTAATGCGCTAGCATGGTTCATCAGACATGTAATAACACTCTGCTCTGCTCTTGGAGACTAATTAATTAGCTGTTAACATGTCACATGCATCTACTTCCCATCTCTGATATCCAACAGATTAAGGGAAATGTTAGCTGTAGAAGGAGGAAGGATTCACAAGCACCAGTGGTTTTTTAAATCCAGGTTATTCAATTAAAACTTTTATAGCATCTAGAAATAATTTTACACATAGTTAATTTGTGTCCAATTCACTGTTATATTTCATAAAGACAGACTCAAACTGGGTTAGGATCAAACAATGAAGGAAGAAGACATTCGTAATTGTGTAATGACATGGCTCGGACCAGGCTCCTTGGTAGTGGGAAAGGACCTGCCTCCTTTACAGAACCAGAATTTTCTCCAGCTCCATCCTGTCTGTTAGATTGGGCAGCTTCTGATAGGCCTGCAGCAGAGCTTTGACATATTCCTTCTCACGAAGGTGCTGATTGTAACATTGATCGATTGATCGATCGATTATGTGTAAAGTCGGGTATTTTAATGACTATAATAAAATAGTCAGTACAGGTGAATAACATTGTTGCAAAATAACAAACTCAGACAGAAGCAGGGGGCAGTGACGAGATCTCCAAGTACAGCTTTGTAAAAAATAGATTTAAAAAATACTACAGTAGATTTTATTTGTGTAAACTGATCTTTTTTTTTTTGATTATCCACCTGTGTTTTTCAGTAGTTTTCAGATAAATGAAACAGAAGTGACTGGTTGTTCTCTAAAGTTCTCTAATGTTCCTCTGAGCCCTTCACAGAACATCTTTAATTCAAACTACTACAAGCAGAAGGACTCTAACTGCAGATTGTTTGATCTCTCACACCAAATGTTTGCATTGGATTTGATATCGGGGTGTCAAAACACAAGATCTTAACATAAACACACTTTTCTGATAATCTGTCATCGTCCCTTAACCTCACCATAATCGTTCTAATGGTTGTTCCATCACATGTAATGCTGCTGAAATGACAGTCCTGTTTGTGACATGATGGAAGGTAAAAAATGCATAAGATGTGAAGGCTTTTGCAAACCCCTGTATGGTAATAATATATAATCTCCAGGCAGATGTGCATGCCAGTGAAACCCCCTCAGGAGGGACCTCATGTTGCCAGCAGACTGGGCCGGAGGGAGGGGGGTTTGTGGCCACATGGCGAGGGCCAACGGGTGAAGGGATAGAGAAGGTTAATTGTCGCTTCAGTAGTAGCTAATCTGTGTCAATCTTCCTATATAATTACAACAATCCCAGTCATAGACCCTCTTCCTTCTTAGTGAGGCTTATAAAGACAAACACATTCAGTACAACTCAGTACATATTTAAATACAGATATGTGTGCTGCTTTTATAGAGAGCTTTGCATGTATTTAGTAAAGTCTATTTTTAAATATGTTTCAGTGAGGCTGTTATACATTTCCCTTTAGGCAAGCGGTGAAGTTTTGCATGCTTCATGGATTGAAGCCTTATGTTAAAAGGACACATCTCTGGCCTACCTGTCCTTTCTATTATTGATGAAGCCTTACCTGAGCAGCAGGAGATATCAGGCCACACTTAGAGTACATTACACACAGAGTGGTGTTTGGTCAAAAGAACAAACTGGAGATGAATATTAGAAATAATCTTGCTACACTGCTGCACTTATGGCACATTAAACCCAGTTTTTGTACTTTTCTTCTGCTGCTTCCTCACATTTGTTTAATTACCCCTTAGATACAAAAATGGATCCTAATGAGACTCTCTTGGATAATTGGACCATTGCAGAGCTTCCCACTCACTCAAAGGAAACGTTTGTCCATAAGAAAGAGAAAAGCAGGCTTCAGTCCCTTTAATGCGGTTAGAAGTGTCAAGTAAGAGAGCTGGTGGCCCGCTGCCCAGAAAGACACCGGGCACCTACCTCCAAATGGGCACACAGTGGTTCGTCCAAATGGAAGCTCTGTATAATTTAGTAAGATTCAAAGCATTTCAAATGGCAGCTGTAAGGAAGCTTTCATCAACCAAAAAACCGGCATCTATCGCATATTTTGTCTTTAAAAAGCTTCTCGCTGACGGCTTCTCTTCCTCGGTTTTCCTACAGAACAGCGAGGTGGTGGAGCTCCAGAGGAATCAGCTGCGTGATGACATCAAGGAGTACAAGTTCAGGGAGGGCCGCCTGCTGCAGGACTACACAGAGCTGGAGGAGGAGAACATCTCTCTACAGAAGCAGGTCTCCGTGCTCAAACAGAGTCAGGTGAGAACGTGAACAGGACCATATGTTTTAATTCCAAAATGCTAATCCCAATTTTTTATTATTATTTTCAGTTCAAACCTTTATTTAAAATATAATTGTTTTGAAGTTTAAGTATTTCAACTATTTTAAAAAACCTAGAAGTATTTTTATAGGTTTTAGGTGTTAACAACCATTATTAAACATTAGTTATGTTTATATTTTTCCAATATGTCTTTCCCTAAAGCAAAAAACAGTGAAATCTCTCATGCTTGGGAAAATGTTCAACTTCCGCTAAAATTTCTGCGTTTCAGTAATTTTGCAACTATAATCATCGTAATATCAGAATATGTTTTTACACTACCTCACACCGTCAGTGAATGTTAAATTTTATCTATTATTATTTGCTAACATAATTTTTTATAATGATCCTTTTAATCGTTTTTTTATCCATCTTTTTCAAGCATCCCAGGGTCGGATTCTCTAGAGTTTAATAAATCCAAACTTCTGTTACCTTCAATCCGTTTAGGTGGAGTTTGAGGGTTTGAAGCATGAAATCCGTCGCCTAGAAGAAGACACCCAGTTCCTGAACAGCCAGCTGGAGGACGCCATCCGCCTGAAGGAAATCGCTGAGCGTCAGTTGGGTGAGGCTCTGGAGACCATCAAGACTGAGCGGGAGCTCAAGGCCTCACTGAGAAAAGAGCTCTCCAACTACATGAACATCGGAGACACTCTGTATCAAAGGTAAACAGAGCAACAGCACAAGCTGCTGTCAGGTTCTTGGTGACACTTTGATATGTTAATAACATCTGACCTTTCCTCCTCAGTCCACTGAGCATTTCGCTTGATGCCCTGAAGTTCAGCGACGATGCTACCACCGAACCCAACAACGACGAGGCTCTGCTGGGATTGGAGAACAGCTTCACCAAACTGGCCAACACCATCAATGAGGACAACCGCAACCCCACAGCTAAGAACGAGGACCTCTTTTGTCCGGTGCCCAGCCTGGTTGACGACCTGCTCAGCGAACTGAACATCTCGGAAATCCAGAAGCTTAAACAGCAACTAATGCAGGTCAGTCTTTACAGCTTGTTTGGCCCTGGGGGGAAATGACTCCTGGTGTACGGGGTGTAGAAAGTTCTGCCATTTTCTGTTTCTCTGTTTAAAATGAGAGGAAGCACAGAGATTTTAGATTTAAACGAGAGAGCAAGACTTTGAGCAAGCAACTGGAAGGCCGACAGCAGTAGAGCAAAATAGCCATTTTACTATTTTGAACCTTCACACTTGTGCTATCATAAATCACTAATACCACTATTCTGCTAATGACTGGTATAAGATGCTCTGCCAGTTGAAACTTAAAGCTTTAATTGTTCCTTCTGCTTACTAATAAACCTTTGTTTTCCATTACCTGCTCTCCTACACAGGGGGTTGATACTCCCTCTACTTCTAAACAGAGGAAGTAATGTAGAATACTAGAAAATGATATTTTAAAAGCTATTATTGCTGTAAATGAGTCCTAGAGGTATGCTAAGGAGAATCCAACTGTATTTAAAGGTGTGTTTTCTCAGCTGTATCCCGACCTCGTCTGCCGCAGGCATCTAAATCCCATTATGGCAAAGTTAATCCAAAGAGGCACAGACGCATAGTCTGCAGGCTCCACTGGGCCCTTAGGGCAGCAGGTGGTGGCACCAGAGGTCCTGCCATCTGCTTGCTTATCACCACAAGATCACACAACGTCTGAGTGCCACAGTCACCAGAAACCCATCTAAACCTGTGGGTAGCAGTTATATCTTCCTGCTGGGATTTCATTCAACAGACGTAGAAATGTTTGCTGGAAAACATCTGTTTCAGTGTTTTGATGGAAGACAGTTGGTTTTCTTTTTTTTTCCAGAGCTGCTATAATCTTACATGCTACTAAAAATAAGTTTTAATAGGATAAAGGTTCAGGTCAGCTGTGACCAAGGCCAGCCATATGTTACCATTTATTTTGATCCTTATTTTCTACATATTAGCTCCACTGATCTCACCTTTTCACTCCTGGGGAATCCTCCAGCGTCTACCACAGAGAAGATGGATGAGTAAATTCAGACATTTTCATGTGTAAAAATCAACAACAAAGTGTTTTTTTTTCTTGCGTATGGATGTCTTCTTTATCCCGAGGGTTTAGCTTCTGAATTAGCTTAATGCTGACGTAAACACACCTTCATTCATAAAGAGGACCCTTATTGAACTGTTGAGGTCACCCTGACCTGGTGCTGATATAGCTGGAACTCTGCCTCATATTCTGCGATAACACCATCCTGATTGTGGGGGGGGGGGGGGGGGGGGGGGGGGGGGGGGGGGGGGGATTACCACATGGACAGTTAATCCTCTGATTTAATATTATCTGACCTTATAAAGAGGGACCCCTTTTCAAATCATTTGGTTATTAAAAAAAAGCTACATGACATGTATGTGTGTCTCTTCCCAGATGGAGCGGGAGAAGGTCAACCTGCTTTCCAATCTGCAGGACTCCCAGAAACAGCTGGAGCAGGCCAACGGGGCTCTGTCAGAGCATCAGGAGAAGGTCAGCCGCCTCACAGAGAACCTCAACGCCATCCGGAAACTCCAAGCCAGCAAAGAGCGCCAGTCCGCTTTGGACAACGAGAAAGAGCGGGACAGCCATGAGGATGGAGACTACTATGAGGTGGACATTAACGGACCAGAAATCCTGGAGTGCAAGTACAAGGTAACTCAAACTGCTCTGAAACCCATATTTAAAAAGCCTGTATTTAGTCTTTGTATGCTGAGTGTTGGTCTTTCTCTTGCAGGTGGCCGTGTCTGAAGCAGGGGAGCTGAAGGAGGAACTGAAGACTCTAAAAGCTGAATACCAGGCCTGTCAGTCACGCTACGAGGAAGAGCGCAGCCGTCTGGAGAATGACGTCAGGTCTCTGGGAGACAAACTGTCCAATCTGGAGAGGACTACATCTGCAGAGAGAGAGGAGAAGGCTAAGCTGGAGAAAGAACTGCGCAAGGTGAGTGATGGGTCTACAGGACCATTTACTGTGAACACCCAAAGAACCAGGAATGAATGAGTTTTTTTGTGCTTGTTTTAGCTGAGCGATGTGGCAGGCGAGTCCCAGGGCAGTCTGAGTGTTGCCCAGGATGAGCTGGTAACATTCAGCGAAGAACTGGCCACTCTCTACAACCACGTCTGCATGTGCAACAACGAGACCCCCAACAGAGTTATGCTGGACTTCTACAAAGAGGGCAAGGGTGGTCGGAGCAGCCCTGAGGGCCGTGGTCGCCGCTCTCCTATCCTGCTCACCAAGGGTCTCTTCCCAGAGCACGGGAGGGCCGACCTCAGCGACGGAGCTCCCTCGCCCGTCTCCTCTCTACCTTCCCCTGTGTCTGACCACCGCAGAGAACCCATGAACATCTACAATCTGGTAGCGATCATCAGAGACCAGATCAAGCACCTGCAGCTGGCTGTGGATCGCACCACAGAGCTGTCCCGCCAGAGGGTAGCATCTCTGGAACTCGGCACCGTGGCTGACAAGGACAAGGAGGCCTGCATGGAGGAGATCCTCAAGCTGAAATCTCTGCTGAGCACCAAGCGGGAGCAGATCGCTACTCTGCGGACTGTCCTCAAGGCCAACAAGCAGGTGGGTTGATCTGTTTTGTGTCTTTTTGTTTGGCCTGCTTGATATTTCTATCAAAAGTCCCCGACAGACAGAAATGGAGCAATAGAGGAGCTATTCCAGGTCTGATCAGCTGTTTCCCAAAACAGGTGACAGAAAGGAACTATAACAAACACAAGCTGAGACAGCAGCCATATGGTGACAGCTGTACTCGGTATCAGGGTGTTCAGGGAAACAGAGCTGCTCTTTAAATCCTAAAGAATTCCAGCCTCAATGTTGGGCGTGTTCGCAGTTGCTCTGGCAGCTCTTAAAGTTACTGTGTGTGTGTGGGGCTATTGACTGAGAGCAGATACTATAAAACAGCCTCCCTGCTATGGAGCTCATTGATGGTTTAGATCAGGAGACCAGCTGACGTCACACCACCTGGATCTGAGAGAGACACTGTGCTTTAGTTGCATTTAAAAAGAAAGACAACCATGTTAATCTCACTTTAGCATCTTGTTTTAGCAATTAGCACGATTACTATTACCCATGGTGAACAACAGTCTCTCTGGGATTTCTTTAAAACAGTTTTCTGAAGAACAACAACATTTTCCGAGGTATAAAATGTTCAGTTCAATAATACTGGAAAAGTAATTTTCTTGCAGCTGATTAAATCAGACGATCTCAGCATGTAGAAAATAGTTTCATATAAATTTGACTTAACTTGGTGGCTGATATTTTATTCCATGTGTTAAAACACTATTTTACAGGGAGACCTTTTAATAAAAACCATCTCACATATCATTTAAGTAAATCATATTTTATCTTCTGAAACCATCGTGTTGCAAACTGTTCACTTTGTTTGTTCCAGTTCTATCTGGGTATTTTCTCCAGTATTATTAAATGAATTGCTTTGCATTATCAGGGGTTGTCATAAAACTGAAAAAACTGAAAAAAACCTGATGGTATGAATCATAAAAAGGAGGAAATGACCTTTGATCTGTTATGGCACCACAGGAGTGGAGCATTTATTGATAAAGACAGGAATTGTGGTAATGGTGATAACCTGCAGGTTCTGGTCAGTATCACAACAGTATCTCAACTCTCGATCATCTTCTCCTCTTGTCCAATCACAGTCGGCTGAAGTGGCTTTGGCCAACCTGAAGAGCAAGTACGAGAACGAGAAGGCCATGGTGACGGAGACCATGATGAAGCTGAGGAATGAGCTGAAGGCTCTGAAGGAAGATGCCGCCACCTTTTCCTCTCTGCGAGCTATGTTTGCCACACGGTAAGAAGGAAAGCCCCCCCCATAAGGCTCCTAAGCGAACAAAGCATTCTAAAACCTCCGAAATCTTTACTATTTGTATCTCCTAGTAAATTGTCTTAGGTAGCATTTCCTCTTTACGCTAATGAACTGGCAGCAATCCTAATCTCTGCCCGTCTACCATGTTACAATAGGGAAGAGAACAAATATAATTGGTGTTAAAAATGGGTTGGGAGATATTCTTAGAGCTATTGTTGGAAGCCAAGACAAACACACTGTAAACAGGTAGCTAAAGACAGGATTATTGTTAAAATGTAATCCATCTTTGCCATATGTTGTGTCTGCTTAGTGCAGGCTCTCCTTATTGAATCATTACAATGAAAATGAAAATGTAAAAAGAAGTCCTATTTAAAAATAGTTCTATCTTACCTCTAAAACATGTCTGCTAAGCATTGTTTTTGTGACTGACTTGCAGCGGGTTGGTGTGTGCATGTGCGGCTCAGAAGGGGCCACACACTCACTAATCTTTTCTGATTCCTAAGAGAAGCCGGTCAGAGGTTGTGTCCATAATCCCACCTCATCTTGGTGGTGATTATGCATTTATCACATACTAGACTAAACCTCGCACACTGCTTGTTTGTTTACCTACACGCTATGAATGCTTCTGAATCTTACAAAGGCTGCATTTGTTGCATGGGTTTGAATTCAAATACATTTAAATGCGTGTTTCATTGCAGCTGTAGTGCAGCTAGTAGAGCTGATATCAAAGTCACTCTGTCGCTGAGCCATAGATTTACAGTATGCATGGAGGTCTGAGATGATAATGCAATTTTAAAGTGTGCTGGCCTTATCTTACCCTTGCAGAAATCCAATATCTCTCTTGGTCTGCGCTTTCTGGAGTAACTCAATATTAGAGCAGTGTCTCATCTGGTAGTTGCAGCAGTTACTCATGATTAGGCTCATTTTTGTTGGTTTGTCAATGAGAGAAATGACAAAAGGATGCACATTTTGCAAAGCTTTTTGTAACTAACATTGTATCTACCATTTATAGAGCCTTGTTAGAGTATTCCAACCTAATATATTGTCCCATCTTTTGTCACATAACTGAAAAAATCTTTGGTTTTATGTACTGGGAGTTAAAAATTTAAATAAACATCTTAAAGAGTGCGGCATGTATTTGTATTCAGCCCCACTTTCTTGGATTTTCCAAATGAAATCCACTGTATTGAATTGCCTTCATAAAAACAGGAGATCACTGATCAATCCAGAGTACGGTAACACTGCCTACCTAGCAGGACGCCATAAACGAACAGGAAGGCATCAATAGAATTAGCCAAAAGGCTCATCGTAGCTCAGTTAGGTGTTTAACACTGACTACTCAAATCTGTCCTTTTTAGGTGTTACAGAAAAAAAAGCTGCTGTGCTTGTTTCTCCATCACATAAAAACCCCAATAAAATATAAAAGTTAATCTTTTCCAGAGGTGAAAGAAAGCTTTGGATTCTTTGCTCTGGATGAGCAGATGTTGTTTTTTTTTTTATCATCCTGTTTTCCTGAAGGTGCGGTTGATTTTTAACACTTGGTGTTTAAATCTGCAATTGAATTCTGTTTTCATCCATTTCCTCAAATACCTACCTCAGATGAGACTTGCTTTGTGCCCACCCAGACCCAGTTATCCACTGTTGCAGTGTTACATTCAGTCTGTTTATGACATTCATGCATTGGTATGTAAATTCTATCCTACACGGCACAGAGTTGGGTCAGGGGGGCTCTTTGAAAAGCCGGGGGACTAGCCTGAGTGAAGTTTCCCACACTCACCATCTCCTTTGTACCCCATGTCCCCCTTCCATACTACCTCATCACCAGAATCTGAATCTGGTGACAAGAAGAAGGAGCAGTTTTTTAGTTAAAGCCCTCTCCAGGAGCCTTGTTTTTCCCTTGATCACCATTGACAGCATGTAAAAAAGGGATTGGGACAAAAAAAAGCTCCCTTATACAAGTGTGTGGTCTTCAACTAAAAGGAAAGGAGATGGAGTGAAATTGGGAATTTTTACAGTTTCTGTTAGAGCAAATCACCCTTTTAGCTGTTAGAAACATGAGGGTTTTTAGATGGAATATTTCCCACATGTTTACATGCTGGCCCTTTGTTTCTCTGTGAGAGTCTGAGCCCCTCCAGCTGCAGGCTGTGGTGTCATGTTAACAGTTAAAGTCCTGCCTCTTACATTCCTCAGACATGCCTAGACATGGTTCCCCCTCTCTGTTCTCACTGATCAAACCATTAAGCTTAATGTCATCCTGTTATTTTTTTAAGCCTTTTTTTTTATCTGTTCTCAATCCGTGTGATCCCAACATGATCAACCACGTTCAGATCAGCACTTCATCTCAGGAGGTTATTTCTTATCCCTTAAGGACACTTTTAGTCATGATTACTTCTTTTTATAAGAGAGCAATAAGATGCCATCAGCCACTGTAAATTTCCACAAAGGATGCAGATGATATACGAGTCTAAGCCGACATTATGGGATGCTATTCATTCTTCACAGGCCGACAGGAGCCTCTCTGTGTTTCTTGTGCAACAATAACCTGATCAGCAGGCCCAAATGAACCTTTTGTATCCCGTCGTCTTTTTCCCGGGAAAATCGCACGACCTCCCACTCCCATGCAAGACGCAGTCGACTGTCTGAACAGACACCAGTGCCCACCCCCAGACACCTCACAGCCGCCCCCTCCCTATTTTCACACTGGGTTTAATGAAGAGGCACTGATCTCTTTTGTCTGGGTGTGTCCCCAAGGGAAAAGTAGAGCCAGCGTAGTTTGTTTGTATGGTGGTCTGACAGGGCCAGAGTTCACACGGCCAACAACCACATGCAGAACCCAACACAACAAAAACATCTGCGTACGCCTTTTGACTTTTGAGGTGAAGTTTTCCTAAACAAAAGGTTTTGGAAAACTTTGCAGATGGTGTTTGCAGCCATACTTGATTGGCAATGTTTGTCTTTAGGTGATTTATTTTTTTCAGTTGTAGGTCTAAACATTAAAAACCAAACTGGTTTGAAGACGTGTTATGGAATATAAAAAAATAACAAATAGATCTCAAGCTGTTATAAAAATGGTCAAAAATCAAATCCAGCCCTTTCTGTTGTTTATATGCAAATCTGCAGCTGTTGGGGTTCAATCTTGTTTTCCAAGGAGCCAACAGGAGCAGGGAAATATAGAAATATAATTTTTTTCTGTGGTCAACTCTATGTCATACCTCTCTCTCCTGGCACACCACATTACGTGATTCCTCACTAAAGTTAGCTAGCTTCCTCCTCAGGCATTGGCCATACAAGCCTTCATCTCTGCTAAGAATTTACACACAATAATCCCTGGTTACAGTCTAACAACAAAAAGTCTGTAGAGGAAGAGGATAAACAGCAATCATAAAGAAATATTCAGTATTTTTTGTAGCTTAAACCTAGAGTCATTCAGTAAACTTTATCCATTAATGTTGAATTGCAGGTCAAATACGGAAAATCTGTGTTTTGTTTCATGTATTTATTTTTATGGTTTTGAGTTTTTTTTTTATTAGACAAATGTTGGGGATGTATGTTTTAATGCAAAGATATAAGCAATCCTGTAATTTTTTTTACATTCAAAAGACTACCTACGAACCTTTACTACGAAAAAACCCAGCCGCACATTTTCTTCATTTCAGAGAAATGTCACCAAATGTCCCTCTCCACTCATAACAGGGAAGACTATTACATTCTGGTGTCAACATAAAAAGAAAAGTGTCTGTGTTTATGAAGGAGAGGGTCTGATACCAGTAGTAGAATATGTGGAGGCTTGAGATGTGAGATAAGAGCCAGGAGGGATGATGGAAAAGAAACTGTGGAGATGGAACCCCTTAAACACATTCCTGTGGAGTGACCCAGTTATTTTACTTTTCCAGCCTTAAATTATTTACACATACTATTGCCCTCAAGGGCAGGGGACAACGAGGAGGCTTTACACACAGCAGTCAGCTAGGTGGCATGTTTTGTCCCATTTGAGACACAGATGATGGATGGAAGAAGTAGAGAAAAAATGTCTCGCAGCAGCTGGAAAAACAAATCAGTTGTGAGCATCAGCTCCTTCCTACGCTTCCCTCTATTTTCACTCCCCTTCTAACCCATCCTGTTCCTCGAGTCACCAGGAAAAAAATCCTCTGAAGGATCATGAGGTTAACGGAAAAACCTGGTATTCTATACTCTCCAGCTTTTTAAAGAAACTCTTATAGATACATCACCCTCTTATTTCCTTATATTTCTAATAGAGGTAGTACATAACAGGAGGATCTGGATAGTAAAACAGTGCCAGCATTCAACAAAATCTTAAACTTCCTTAGAAAATCTTTTATTAAGCTTCAAAACATATTTTTTATAAATATCGGTAGATGTATTTGTGGAGAAAGTGGCAAAATGGCTGATATAGTAAGGAATAGATGTCACAGGACCCTTTTCATTGAACAAGCGTGAGCTTGTTGGCTCTTTGCTGCCACCTGCTGGTTGTAAAACAAACCGTACAGAGAAAGGACATCTAAGGCTAGCCTTAGTTGGATTGTTTTTTTTTTCTTTTTTTTTTTTCTACTTTTAAAGCTACTTAAGCAATGACAAGGGCTGCATTGATAAAGAAGTTCTTACAAAATATGCAGTACAGAACATGGACATACTTTCCATTGCAATTCCAATGTCAGTGTTTAGATTTTTTTTTTGTGCTAAAGTGATGATTAAGATTATGTTTCTTTATGATTAAGTAACTGAAAGTTTGTGTTTCTAAAGTAAACCTGCAGGCTAACTGCACAGTTCTTCTCTTTTTGCTTCCCTCTTGCAGCTGCGATGAATATGTCACCCAGCTGGAAGAAATGCAGAGGCAGCTGGCTGCAGCCGAGGACGAAAAGAAGACCCTCAACTCCTTGCTGCGGATGGCCATCCAGCAGAAGCTGGCCCTGACGCAGCGCCTGGAAGACCTGGAGTTCGACCACGAGCAAACCCGCCGCGGTGGCAACACAGGGCGGGCTAAGGCTCGCAGCAAGGCGGCCAGCGGCGCCGCCTCCACCAACCCACACGTAAGTCAGAGTCTGACCTGCTCTGGCTCCGGGCGACCTGAGCTCAACAATGCCATGCCCAACGGCATCCTGGGAGGTCCCGCCATGTTCTGCAGCGAGAAGTACAAGATCTACTGTGACTGAGAGGCGACTCGGACGTCCATGTAGACTGCTGTGTACAGAGGGCTGGGCGGGGGGGGCCAACCCTCCCTCCCATTAGTCTTTAAGAGCCCCACTTGCTCGCTTCGCTCCCCGGCCAGCCTGCGCTCCTCTAGGGACTGCTGTGTCACTAACCGGCTGTTCGTCTGTGCTTGTGTAACCGCTTAGGGGAATGCCGATATATGTACAGTGTGCTGTGGACTGTAGTAGACATATTGGCATGTGGGGTAAAGGGCCCTGGTTATAATTGGGGGGGTTGGGTGGATATTATGGAGTGTCTATTCTTTCCGCTGTCATGGTGCTGTACCTATGATTTAAAAGGTGGCAGCTTCTGTGTTTATCTGTTCTGGCCCCCTGGTTGGCTTGCCCGGTAACATAAACACATTGTGGTGGTGGCATATAAAGAGGATGTCAGACCCAACGACATCCTCTGTTTGGCGTGTCAGTCGGTGCTCCTTTGACCAATAAAGCCCCTAACTTCTTCCCCTTTCTCTCCATCCTGATCCAGGACTCCAGTATCTGGCAGGCGCATTTTTATAATAAAGTGACTGATGTTTACAAGAAAATCAACTAAAATATGCAAGCTCCCTCTGCTTCATAGCTAAGAGAGCCTCAAAATGGATCTGTGTACCAATCTGAACTCAGAAAGGGGTATCTTCTTGATTTTATAATGAGATATTTTGGGCTAGAAAAAAGAAAGGAGCACCTTTGACCGTGGGTGTTTATTTCAGGATCAGTTTAAAGCTGTGACCTTAGTGCAACAGTACAATAACTAGGATCGCATGGCTTCACAGCTGAAAATGCTTCAGAGAAAATCTTCCTGTTATTTTCTGTTATAAGATGAACTGCAGGGCTCTAGATTGCAAAAATCCCGGTTAATTGGTGTAAGGTGAAACACTGGAGGTCTGTGTGCTCCACGCGACCCCCGACACGTCGCCGTGGGTCCCATCAGAGCCATATCCCAAGAGAGAGAAGGAGAACGTTTGACAAATCGATCTTTGCATCCAAATTTTAAGTGCACTTCAACATAGGTGCCTCAGGTTACTTCTTCTGTTTTGCTGTGAACAGAGATATGATATAGTTTTGTTCAAAAGCTATTTTTTAATGAATCTGCTCATTCTGGAAGAGCACAAATTATTTCAAGAGCAAGGTCCTCAAATCTGGATAAAGCAAAACTGGCCGGCAGCTCGGCGAAAGTGCCTGTGGACACAAACATTTGGTGTATTTCTGTGTTAATCATGCAAAGCCCTGTGCTCATGTCTTAGCGCTCCCCCACTCATTTATCGCTTCCCTGCTCAAACTGTGGGAGATCGCTCAACACCTTCCAATCTCATATAGGACATGTAGCTGGATAGGCATGGGCTAGTTCAAGATTCTCATCGACTTTGAGTAAAAATACCAGAAAACATAAAAGAAACTAAACATGTTGGTCAAACTCTTGAGGAAATGAGAATAACATTGGCTATTTCTTTTTTTTTGTTTAAAGCAAAAAATCACCTATTTTGCCCCATAACAGCTAAAAACTATAATAAATTATTAATTTCAGCATCAACAGTTTCCCTGAAGCTAAAATTAGCTGGATAATTAGTCAGGCTATCTGCTCTGGTAGCCAAGCAGCAGGTTTTGTTTTGAAGACACCAGCTCTGTGAAACCTGCAGCAGATTCGCTGCTCTATGCTCCATACGATTGGAAAACTGTCCTTCCCTGGCGAATCTTTAAAGAGACTTCCACCCATAGAAAAAATATGATGAAGCAATTTTTAAAATTAGGACATAGAGTCTGTAACAGGCCCATGCCTATGGCTAAAAGGAAAGAAAAGCTTTCCTCTTGTCTCTGATTTCAGTGTCTTGTTAGCGATAACCACCTTCTCTCTTGTAGATTGTCAGCAGCTTGCTCCCTCAGCATCACCACTCACCCTTTAACTAGAAAGAGGACATGTGGAGAAATATATCTGTCAGGTAACGTCCTCGCGTTATGCTCTGTATATCTCAGTGTTGAAATGAAGAGGCTCTTGTGTGTATGTGTGTGTGTGCGGGTGCACGCTGTTTTTTTTTCTTTCTGTTTTTAACCATTTTCACTACGGGCCTCTCATTTCTGTGTCGTTTAGCGTGCGTGGACGACACTGCGCAATGTTTTTAGTATTTACAATAGCTTTAAACTATTGCAAGCTAGTATTAAGCAAATAGTTAAAGAAATAATAAAAGTGGGGCTTATGTTTATTAAATCCATGTAATGCTTGTGGATCATAAACGTTTTTTCCGCTTTATGATGTTAAAAGCAGGGTTGATGGACGATGATCCTGCAAGATTTTGTAAAATTTTACAATTTTCTAACTCTACAAAGCTCTATATTAAACTATATTCTTGATATAATTCTTCAGGTTGTGATCTTGCAGGATTCGACAGTATTCTTATATCTTTAATGCAATGCAATGTGGATTGATTTCTTCGAAAATGAAAAACTGTGTGTGATCAACCCTGCTTGAGCGTGCATCTGTAGGCCACAGCACAAAAAGCATGGACTCAAGGCTGTTGTACAACTTAATGAAAAAAGAACCTTTGGGGTCGGTTACTACTGTTTTATAATCACATTTAAGTACAATACATTCTGTTTCTTTCAGTTTGTGCTGAAAAGAAGGGAGACTTACATTTGTTAAATGGGAAAACCAGGTGTCTAATGTGGTGAAGAAATAAGTCCAGGATTTTCCAGGGGGTAGAAACTCCTGGTGATATTTAGAAACTGATTAATAGACATTGATTCAAATGATCTATTCCTCACCCTTGTGTAGGCTTTGTGGTTTTCACTGAGCTTTAAATAGACCTCGGGATGTGATCGTGACTAGAAATCCTTAGATAGACGAGCCTCGACTTTTCCCTTTCTAGATTGAAATCAATGTCTTGAACTGATGCGGCGTCATTACGAAATGGCGCCTCTGCAGCTCCTCCTACCTCCGCCTGCAGGCTTCTCCCTCATCACCTCTGAGTTTCTCACACATCCTGTTTCTGTTTATTAAAGCCTGCATGTGTAAACATTACTCATTTTTATTAACCTGCATGGCACATGAGAAAGACCCCCTCTCTCTGTGACCAAAGTGGCTTCATCGCTGTCCTCAGAAAAAAGGTTCACAGTACTTGTGACATGTTTTGGCTTCCTATCTCTATCAGGATTCTCTGCAGTGAATGTGCACATCTGCAACAACTATTTATTTAAAAAAAAACCTCCAGATTGACCATTATTTGGCTTTCAGTGCTTATTATCATCTTCTGCTGCTTTGATTAACATCAGCTCAGCTTTTTTAACAGCCGTCCTCAGACTACCTGAACACTAACGATGCTGATAATACCCTTGTTTCTCCATTTTGCAGTAATTATATGGTAATTCCTCGAGGACGGCGGAGTGCCAGCACAAAGTTCCTTTTCGCATCTGCAAAAACTGTTAGAAATGTAGCTGATTTGAACCGGAAGACAAAAAAACTAGCTGGACTTCTACGTCAGAACGCTCAAATGTGGCACATCAACTCTAATAATTGTGCGTCGCTGCTGGAAGCAAACTTCTCACAAGTCTGGAGAACGTTCTGAATGAGGCTAAGATGAAATAATCTAACCATCCTATCAGAAGCCAGGGGACATCTGGTTGTTTCTTATTGTAAACAAGCTGTTTTTATTTTAGTTTTTTTTTCTCAATGTGCACTTTGATTATATAGGATTATAACATTATTATTATTAACCTAATAGGAAAGCGTGGTAGTACTATGGTTTGTGAGTTAACAAATATAGGATAAACACAAATTAGATATACTAATTACTTGAGTAAACGTTCCACAAACCATAATAGTACTACGACGAGTCTGTGCTCAAGATTTTATCCATCAAGTAACCATTCTTAACTTGTTTTGTTACGTTTTGACATGTTATAATGTTTTGGGTTTTTTATATGTTTTGGTTTGTTCTACTGCCATTGTCTATGTAAAAAAAAAAATCCAGGGTGATCCAATTCTGGGGTTTTTCATGTATTTATTATTCCTAGGAATAGTTCAAAACAAATTATCTGCAATGAAACTTGACAACACTCTGACTCCAATGGGTAAGTTTTGTTCGGGAAATGAAATTTAAGTTGGCGTGATCAGGTTGTTGTTGTTTTTTTTTGTCTTTTCTGAGCTTCTTACCGAAGAAGTTCCTTCAAAACTGATCACTGGCCTTCAGAATTCTCTGCAAGTTGCATCTATTAAATTCCAAATTGGAATTGTTTCGTTCACTCTTTGTTTATCGTGCCAAATGTTGGCACACCGTTTAGGTCGAAAAAGAATCGAGACTTGGGAAGAAGAAGACGGGGTCTCCTTATGAGCACCTGGGCTTTAGGGTTTTTGTGTTCTGTTGGTTTGTTTAGCTCTTCGTTTCTGACCAGTAGTGCCTTTCATTGTTTCAAGGGTGAATCTTAGGTTAGGATTTTATCTTTCTTTTATAGGCGAGGAATTTGGCGTTTGAAGCGACTGTGAGCAGCAATAAAAGCAAAACGTTTTAGCCCCCTTTTTTCTGCAAAGAGTGAGGTAATAGTTTTAAAATTAGCTTAACTATAATTGTATTGAATTTTGCAGGTCAGTGATCAAAACAAGTAATTCAGGGGTATCGAGAAAAGTTTTTTTTTATCAAACTTTGGGAACCAAATGATTCCTTTGGCCTCCTGTTGTTGAACTAAATGTGCTGGAGGGTAGTAGGGTGTACAATTGGAAACATCTACGCACCTCTAGCTTTGTTTGGTGAAGGTAATGTGATCTTAATAGTATTGTTGGGGGGAAAAAAATGTGCAGCAAGCACACTTTTTTTTCTTTTTTTTCTTTTTCTTTTTACGTTGTTTTTTATTATTATTTCTATTGAACCTTTTTTTTTACGTCATGTTATGAACATTTACGTTTTCAGTAAACAGAAAACAAAACATAGCATCAACAAGCTTGAACAGTGCCATTCCAGCCAAGGCTTGTTTGTTGAGGCTTTAAAAGTTACCAATATGGAAGAAAAAAAAAAAAAGGCTTAACGATTAAAGTGCAATTCAGATACTGTTTTACGTTTTTGTTTGAAACTGAAAAGTTTTCTGTTTGCTGGAAGGTTTAGCATTGTGATAATAAAATTAGCAGTGCAAGCTATTGTCTTTCAGTATTGATCCATAAGAGTTTGATATCTTTATATAAAATAACTACTTCACCTGTACGTTGGTATTTATTTGAGCTGTCATGCAGTACTGTATTCTTATCAATAATGTTCATTATGAAAAGTGGCATATTGATTCCAGCTAAATGTCATTATGCATGTTCCTCAGTCATGGGACCTTTACACAGGGTTGAAAACAAACATGTAGAGTTTTGCCCAGGATGTTTTGAAAGAAATATGGTGGGGGGAAAATTATAGGAAAAAAAATGAATTGAGTTTGAGGTATTACTGCTGAAATAATTCTGTAAAAGTGTTTGTTTTCTAGCTGAGAGTTGGGGTGACTGTGTAAGGGGAGTCATACTGGTTGAAATCAATAAATGTGACTAAGTTCCAGTTGGTTTGAGTGTTGTTATTTATAGCTGAACCCCAGCAGGAGCAGCTGAAGGGTTAACCAGGGGGGATGTACTGTATGTCCTGCAGCTCTGGTGTGATGTCTGAGTGTTCCCAGCTGGAAGCCAGGAGGGCGGGGGTTCCCAGCTGTCCAAGTGGGCTCCAGGACATGATCACATTACACATAAGGAACAAAAGAACCTACATCCTCTTCTCTCCTCACCCCTCCTTTATTTTTTTCTGCTGTCACTTAAATCTCTCTCCTTCCCCGCCATCTTTACTTCCCTTCCTCCCCTCCGTCTGGAGATGCGCCTACAGATCAAATAAAGTTTGACCTATGGGTCCTCCTGGTTTTTATCTTTTTTTTCATCCAAGTTACAGAGACAGGCTTTTCAACTAATTAAAAGTGCAGGGATTTTCAGGGCCAAAAAATGGTTTGGATAAAACTATATTTTATTGGAAACACAAATCAGTTCTCATTCAACAAAAGTAAGAAGATACAATGCAACAATATATATATATATATATATATATATATATATATATATATATATATATATATATATATATATATATATATATATATATATATAAATCCTTTTTTAATGTATTTTTTCTTAAATTGAGGAGGTAAGTAAGACACTTTGTCAATGTAAAATAACAATTTACATTTAAAATAGGAAAAAACAGTTTCATTGTCTTAGCTTAAGTGCATATTATCTAATTATCTTATTGTAAGAGTAAAAATACTAATTCAATTTGGAAATAATCTTTTTTAGCTATTCAAATTAAGGGTAAATACAATTAATTTATTTGTTTTTTTTATTTCTTGATCGTTTTTGCAGTGTAATTTTAGAGGTTTGACACCTTGAGGACATATTTCTTCTGCTTTTACTTTTTGTCTACCTTTTAGGTTTATGTTCATTAAGCACAGTTTAATCTGACAAATCAATACATATCAAAAGCAGCATTTATATTGTCGCTATGAATATGGGGAAGGGAATAGTGTGGTCGAAATATATTTAGAAATCCTAAATATATCTTTTAGTAAGCATTTGTTTTTATTACTCTTCCTTCAAAACACATGTTGACCAAAAAGTTCAGTTTCATTCTCATTTGAATGGAGCCACCTATCCTGAACATGTTTGCTGTTTCTCCACCAGGTCTTGTGGCAATGAGAATTCTGATACTTTTCTTTCAAAGTGGACTCTTGGTCACTTCCCTTCCATTAGGCATAAATCTGAGGACTTCATGACTAGAAATAACAATAGGACCGACGTAGGAGATCTCTGCAGCTCCTCCAAAGTCCCTTCTCTGATGGTTACCTTTTTTATTTAGGAAGCTTACAAGAGTACACGCTTTTACATGACGTATTGCATAGCGCTCTATGAGATGCTTCTGAAGGAGGTCAGTCACCATGGACCTTTTTAAAGGTAGAAAAGCAGGCAAAAAAATGTATTTTAATATATTAAAAAAGATCCTTAGTTTTGATCTTTGAAATATTTTGTTATTGTTATAAAAATTTAAAAATAAAAAATCCCTAAATGTGAAATCTAATATTCACATCTGTCAACCCGATCAGCAGCTACTAAAATCTACCATATGAATAATCAACTATGTCCCACTGACAGCTGGAAGGGATCATATTGAGTTATTTTCCAAATCCAGCCACAGCTGAGGCCGCATAAAAGCAGCTGTTTCACGTATATGTGGTGCAGTTTTAAAATCTACCACTTGGGGTCACTGCAGCACCACTTTTGACACATCAAGCATGGAATGTTTCTATTATGGTGGGTATTTGCCTTAAATTAGAGAGTCGCTGTTTGTTTAGCTCCCACAAAGACAGCTTTTTATGTGAGGCAGGCTGTGCTGCCATGTGATAAATCTATGTGGAGCCTGAAGCAGCAAATAGCTGTGATCAGATGGTCAGGAGCACACATGCTTCACATGGACCGGTTTGGAACTGACAAATAATTGCTTCTTTATTGTGGCAGAAGTTATTTCAAAAAAATTTTTTTTAACTCATTTTCATTAACCTTTTAAATAAGTGTCTCTAGTTGTCTCCAATTAGCAGGTTTGCCTGCGGATTGGAAGTGTTAAGTTGTAATTTCCATCAGAGATGAGACTGGCACTTCTCTGTGGCAGATTGTCATATTATTGGTGTATTTACACCAGGATGGCTTTAGATAAGTGTAAAAAGCTGATCTGACGCGTGTTGACTTTCACACCCATTGTTCAGCCCAGATGCTCCAGTCTTCTGTCATTGACAGACATAATTGTCTCTTGTCTCTCACCTTTCCACCTCTTTCTGTTCACATTGTTCTCCTCTTTTTATTACTCCCCCCATGAGTGTTCTCTCAGCTTTGTTTTTGTGACCAGATGAACCCCCAGGGAGCAGAGGATGTGGGCCAGAGATCTTCTTTCTGTGGATCAGCAGGCCCCAGTCATTCTGACAGGCCGCTCAATAATTTTAGGGGAAATAAAACTCCTGTTGTATCTAAATACAAGTTCAATCACCTAGAAAACCTTCTCTGAATCTATTCAAATGTGTTTAGCATGAAACTAATTCTAAAGCAAATTGATGAGCAAAATTAAATGTTTTAATTGGAAATCTAGAGCACACTTCATTCACAGGTTGGGGAAAGCAGCCCCAAAGAGAAACATCATCATTTAGAGGTGCTGCTGTTGTCTGTGTCAATCCAGGCTGATGGCAAGCGTGCAGCCAAAGCAGCAACAACAAAGAGCTAAATGGTGCCTGTCTGAATAGACACACGTTTCAAATAGATGGAGGAGGAGTGAGTGCAAACATAGAGAAAGTGCAAGGGCTGTTACTGGCATTGTACTCGCACTTCTGAGGATTGGATGTAGAAATTATTAATAGTATTTCATGTGCTGAAATCTGGCCCTACAGATGAAACACCATCTGTGACTAAAACAGAATGATTTATGATACATTAACTTTACTAATAATTTTAAATAGCCTTTTTTGTACAATTCTTGTTTTGATCCTGTTGTTTCCATTTAAATACGACTATCAGTAATGTTTGAAAAGGGAAGTGTTCTTAGGGTGTATGCAAGTTTTTTGTTTGTTTTTTACAATGCTTCTGGGATAAAAAGAAAAAAAAATTGTAATGTATGCTAAATGAATCGATGACAAAGCAAATGGCAAAGAGATAAAGGCACCACGCAAGAAAAATGAAGTTCTTTTCCACTTTAGAATCATCTGACCTGAGCTTTTAGAAAATGATTGGAGCAGAAACAAAGGGGGGGATGATGTGGGTCTTGATAGAAAAACAGCAAATTACAGTTGTCTTCCTCCCTTTTGTCCATATTCCTTTTTATTGATACTGAGTTAACAGCAGTCTCTGAATACTCTGGAAACTAAAGATGGCATAAAGCTTGCGCAGTGACACGGAAGCCTTGTCCCAGTTTGTGTTCCAGGATTTTTTTTCCACACTACTTGGCAGATAGGGAGATCTCAAAGCAGAAACATCTATTGAAAGCAGGCCTCTTCATCCTTTTCATGACCACATGTGACAGCCTGTGTCATGCCTCCGTGCCAGCGGACATGTCATGGCTGAAGTTGCAACTGTGCCTAAAAATAGAAAGTACTAAACGATGAATTAAAGCAAGTGAAAGAAAGAGGGTATGCTTTAAAAACAATCTTGGAATTGTAAACCTTTTTATCATACAGTTTGAATCTTGGGCTAATTCAGCATTTGAAATATCAGGCATTCACCTGATATCACATCACAGCTAATTTTAGCCTATAGTAACCATTAGAATAGTAGCAGACAAACTGATATAAGGAAAAGAAGGGTAATTGCAGGGTAAAAGCAAGGCAAGTTCTTTTGTGCAGCACAATTCAGTACAACAATTCAGAATCCTCTTTACATGAATTAACCAACATAGAAGAATATAAACAGGTAGTAAAACAAAACATTTGGACCATTAACTTAAGTTAATGATACCTCAGTTAACAGTTAAACTTCAACACTAAAAGGCAGTTTTTAACTGTGGCTTTAAAGAAGACAGCCTTTCAGCACTTTTACATAGAAATTAATTGAATTAAGTACATATTTTTAAAGGTATATATATATATCTATATATATATAAATATATATATATATATATAGATAGATAGATAGATAGATAGATAGATAGCCATGTAAAATTCTGCATAAGAGTCAAATAAACAGTTAAACTTAAGATAATTACATTTTAAAGGTGTTCATTTCATGATTTAAACAGAGAGAATGGTTTTGGAACCTCTGTTTTAAATGATGATGACTTCACGAGCTCAGATATAAAAAAATTCCCCCAAGCAATTATCTAATTTTGAGAATTTAAGTTGTGTTATGTGAGTATAAAAAAAAAAAAAAAAAAAACTTGTCCTTAACTGCATGCATTAAAACACAATACTTACTGGTCAGGGTTATTCCACCACTGACCCCGCGGTGGTTGCGCCATTGTAGCATACATTTCGATCATCTCAAATTCTCACGTGTTATTGAATTTTTAAGGCAAATTGTCAAATCTTAAAGTTGTTTTTTTTATTCTTTCTTTTTTCAACCTATCCTAATTATAAATGAATGGGCTTGTCGTGCTCGCGCCTCGCCCTGACGGGGACGCGCAATTCATTTTTCCAGCAGCGCAGAGAGGAGAGAGTTCAGCCTCCGGAGAGGGAGGAGAAAGGACTTCATGAAGGAATACGCTTCTCAGAGTTTGGACAAAAACCGCGTCCGTTGGGACACAATGAAGAGTCCTCGGTGTCTCTGTTAGGTTTTATCGGCGAACAGGAGTTGAGGAGCGCGCTTCGGTACGCTGGAGTCACCGCTGCAGCTTCTCCGAGTGAAAAGACGGCTTCAGTAAGGGAGGAACTTTGTAGAAAAAATGCAGGGAGTTTCAGCAACTGGTAAGTGAACTGCCCTCCTAAATGTTTCTGTCTGCTTATATTAAACACAGCCTCCACTTTCTTTTATCTGGAGTTGTTTCCAAACGGC